GGAATTCATCAAAACAAACTTGGAATTTGTTTGTTACCAGAGGAGCATCTAGGAATAAGAGAGTACCGTCACGAGTGAACCTGGAATAGCCGATTCTCAATGACAAGCAGGCTGGGATCTCAAAGGCTTTTCGAAGAAAATCAGTTCCTAGATAAGAAGACAGCTAATTTCCCTGTCACTCTAACTCTGCCTGTCGAGGCACTCTTTTTATTGTTCTTTTTATTTTTTTGATCTCTGACTTGAACGAAGTACTGTATGACATATAGGAATTTTAAAAACATTGACATGGGATTCTTTAGATGACAATGTTCACTTTTTTTTGAACTGTGCAACTTCAGAACTTTTTAGTGAGCTCATTCACAATTTGATATTTGTCAGAATATTTCTCAACCTGATTTAAGAACTATTTCCACATTCAGCCAATCAAAGATCTTCATCATTTTCTCTACTAGGACGACTCAGAAGAAAAATCATGTCTTTAAAAAGAAAAAAGAATCGGGGTTTTCAGTTTCCTTTTCTCTTGTGCAGTGATTTATTTCTCTCATTTGAAGTCCTAATAAAATCTGGTCAGATGGGTGATTTCTTTTGAAACTTAGTATTTCTTTGGAAATAAGAAAGGAGAGTGTACAATTCTGGAGAAATGTGTTTTCTCTGATGCTGCATAAAGTTTATTAAAAAGCAAAGAAAAAGCAAACAGCTTATTTCAAAGGTAAGTCTCTGCATGATCTTACTTGGTAGAGATACTCGAGGTACAGATTTTCCATGTTAATTCTCTGAACTTTCCTTCATGTGTGCACATAGGTAAAAAAGCCATATATATGTGTGTAATACATGAGGATAGCTGTAGATACAGATGCATTTAGATATCTTTTTCTTTTCTTCTTTATTTTTTTAATTTTTATCTTTATTTTTTATTTATATATTTTTATTATTACTCGTACATTAAATTGCTATACATAATTTAGATTATGAAGAGACTTTACCCAGCATGATAGACCCCTCAGTCCAGCCCAGTTAAGACCACCATACACATCCTCATCAACAGATAATAGAACTTATCTCTGTTCCACAAGTGTCTTACCTCTGCATTTTTTCTCTTGAAGTTCCTACACTCTTCCCCTCTCACACTCTCTTTCCACTTTGTCTCATGTCCATTACAATTTTTAGTACTTTCATGTTCTCCAGTCTTTCAGTCTCTACCATAGAGTGCAATCGGTATATGTTAAGTGGAGACATGCAATGTATTGCATAGCCTGACTTGCTTCACTCAGCAACAAATCTTCCATATTTGTACACTTTCTATCACAATCCATGGCCTTATATTCAATCTCTATACTTCTTTCTTTTCAAATAAATTTCCCCAGCATACATATACTGTATATTAGTTCAGTCAAAGATAATACTATATACATTATTATCAACAGATAATTTTCCGTTTTGATGTCCCTTAAACTTTTTGCTTCTTTTCCTCCTTGATTCTCTCCCTCCCAACCCTACCCCATTTTCCATCCTCTTCTCACACTGTCTCTAATATCCATGGTTACTCTCTATCTTTTTGGGTATTCCAGTCTTTCAATTTCTGCCATAGATATTTTTTAAAAACTAAGTTCTTGTTGTGTTACAGAGATCCTCCTGGGGCTACAGGTGTGAGTTACCTAGCTCTACTCTTTTTTTAATAAGATGTCACGTACACAAAACTCAAGCTCATGATCCTCCAACCTCAGCTTCTGAATCACTGAGATTATAGGTCCATACCACTGCACCCAACATTTAGGTTGTACTAGGAATGGATCCTGGGCTTCTCACATGGTTTCAGACCATGGAGCACAACAACTTAGCAATGCCTGCCGCAGTGGCTAGACCAGTGTAATTATATTTTAAAATGTGAATGAGATCATCATATAAAAGTATGCATTGACTACATGTGGATCATTCTAAGTTTCACCATGTAAAAATCTATCATATCCTTTCTAATGCTGCACAATAGTTTGTGCTATTCAAGTAGCCAAATAAATTTAATCCATCTCCTACTACTGATGCACTTTTATGTCAATTCAAGTTTTTAAAAATATATGCAAGGTTGAAATGAATATATACAACCTCATTGCTTCCTGTAGTTCATGCACATTAGATTTCTTTCTCCTCCCAGAACTTACCAAGCCCTTCCTGCCCAAGGGCTCTGCCTTCACTGTTCCTTCACTGTGCCCTGCATCAGGGACATGCCTCTTTTTCTCTGTACAGAGTTGACTCTTTTCATCATTTAGGACCCATTCCCATATCTGCTCTTTATGAGGACCTTTCCTGATCATTCATCCAATGCATCTCCTCACATCCAGTGACTCTATTAGTTTACCCTGTTTCTTTCCATCATGATTATTTTCACACCCAACAATGTGGAAGCATATTCCCTGCAAACGGTTGTCGAGATGCTTGAAAAAGTAGTAGTTGTTTAGCAAGAGATCAGTGCATATGACTGATGAGACAAAACTCTGTACACCAATGTGTTCAATGCAGAGGTTGCTATTTTTGGTGCATTTCATTGATCTACTGAGCATTCTTCTCAGATGTAATGGTTTTGCTGGGATTCAGAAAACTTTAGTGGATCAGATCCCACCAAACTGTGACCATAACCTTTTTTTGGTGAAAGTTTGGCTCTGGAAAGTGCTTTGGAGCTTCTTCATTTAAACACTCAGCTGGTCATTTCTGGTTATCATATAAAATCCACCTTCGATTGCATGTCATAGGCCAATCAAGAAATGGTTCATTGTTGCATAGAATAAGAGAAGAAAGTTCAAAATGATAATTTTTTTATTTTGAGTCAACTTTTTTTTTTTTTCAGAAGTTTTTGCTATAGGGCGCGTGCACTCACCAGAAAGACAGAGAGAGAGACAGAGAGACAGAAAATGAGAAATCACCCCCCCAGGGGGGATGGCCATGCCACAATTCCTTCTCCTCCATTCTCCTCTCAGGATCTTGGGCACACACACATATGCGCCTGGTGTGAGTTTAAACCACTGGGTCTGAGACTTGACCCGCGGTTGACTACGTGGGAGTCCAGTGACATAGCCATTACACTAACTGCTGGTTCCTTGAGGCAACTTATGAGACAGCCACTTATTGGGGTTTCTCACCTTTCCAATTTGCTTCAAATGCCAAATCACCATAGAGTGGTTATCACTGAGTTCTTTGGCAATTTCTTTTTTTATTATTATTATCATAATCTTGTTTATATTACAGTGAATCACACTTTACAGTGTATTACATTTCTTTTTCCAGAAGGAATGCCATTCATATCAGTCAATACAAAGACATTAAAATCCCCATCATCATCATCCAATAGCTTTTCATTTTTTTCCTTATCATTATTATTATTATTCCAATGATTTTTTTAAACATTCAGTCACCATCTGATTATCATAATCTTGTTTATATTACAGTGAATCACACTTTACAGTGTATTACATTTCTTTTTCCAGAAGGAATGCCATTCATATCAGTCAATACAAAGACATTAAAATCCCCATCATCATCATCCAATAGCTTTTCATTTTTTTCCTTATCATTATTATTATTATTCCAATGATTTTTTTAAACATTCAGTCACCATCTGTCATTTTGCTTGTAGAAAGACTTTACCCAACATGAAATACTTCTCAGACCTGTCCAATTGAGAATACTTTACACATCATCAACAGGTAATAAACCATATCTGAATCCCACTAATGTCATGCCTCTCTATTTGTTCTCTTGCTATCCTTCTCCTTACTCTTTTCTCCTACCCCTTTCCACACTGTTTTATCATTGCAAACTATTTCCACTGCTTTTATGTCCTCCAATATTTCAATTGGCAATTTCTCGTTTAGTTGTAAGAAGATGAGCTTCAATGATTGCTCTCAACTGGTCGTTTTTAACTTCCGATGGCTGGCCACTACACTGCTCATTTTCACGTCTCTTGACTACCTTTCAAAACTTCTTGAACCACCACTGCACTGTATATTTGTTAGCAGTTTCTGGGCCAAATTGTTGTTGTTGTGAGTTGTCTCCACTGCTTTATGACTCATTTTGAACTTGAATCAGAAAGTCACTTAAATTGCTTTTTGTCTATATTATTTCTATACTCTAAAATACATATAAAATAAATAATAAGTAACAAGTTATTAGCAAAAAAAATCTTAAAGCAAGAAATTCACATTATGTATAACATTAACCACAGTTAAGAATGTATCCAGAACAAAGTGGCCAATTTCAACAATGCAAAACCACGATTACTTTTTTACCAACCTATTCTATCAGGTGTGGAGACAGAAGTAAATATAATGTCCAATATAAAATTGCAAACACTCCAAATGGAAAACCAAAATGAAACCAAAAAGCATTGGTGAAATAGTAGAAATGAGTATTAGAATGCTTCAAAGAAACTATAAAATTGAGTTTATTTAGAAGGGATTTTATGTGAACAAGCAGGTTGAAATCATGTGAGAAGGTAAGTGGATAAGTGAGCCAGCACGTAGAGAACAGAGGGCACTGGTCACGTCGTGTCTTGAAACAAGAAGGCAAACAAGCCAAGGAAATAACGTCCCCTCTAAGTGTAATTTTTTGTTTAAGTCATCTCTTTATATATATTAATCATGGAGACTTGTACCATGGAAGGAAGATTACCTGAATTCTCCAAAACACACGTGTGTGTCTGTGTATGTGTAGCCTCATATTTAGGGTATTTTATCATAGATTATATTACCTTATATTTCATAATTGTATATAAGATATACATATCATTATTTATATCTTTTTATTATTTAATTGATACAGTGGGATTTTTAACTCTCATTTTATGAGCACACAAATTTTCCAATATGTTAAAATATAAATTCTAGGAAATCCATCCAAATAAATGCATTTCTAAATGCCACTCTGTCGCATTCCATATCAATTTTACATCTTTGATTGCTCCCAGCTCTGAACTTCCAGAGACCAGGTCTCATCTTCTTCTGCCACAGGACATGGAAAGTAACCAGACGTGGATCCCAAAAGTCACCCTGCTGGGGTTCCAAGTGGATGCAGCCCTAGAGTATTTCCTCTTTGGGCTCTTCTCTCTGTTCTATGTTTTCACCCTCCTGGGGAACGGGGTCATCCTGGGGCTCATCTGCCTGGACTTGAGACTGCACACCCCCATGTACTTCTTCCTCTCACAGCTGGCCCTTGTTGATATGTCATATGCTTCCAACAACGTGCCCAAGATGCTGGCAAATCTTGTGAGCCAGAAAAGAATCATCTCCTTTGTTCCATGCCTAATGCAGACATTCCTGTATTTGGCGTTTGCTCACATGGAGTGCCTAATTTTGGTGGTAATGTCCTACGATCGATACGTGGCCATCTGCCACCCCTTGCATTACATGCTCATTGTGAGCTGGAGAGCGTGCGTAGCACTGACCGCCACTTCCTGGGTGTTCAGTTTTCTCTTGGCCCTAGTCCACTTGGTTCTCCTCCTCAGACTGCCCTTTTGTGGACCCCACAAAATCAACCATTTCTTCTGTGAAATCCTGTCAGTCCTCAAGCTGGCCTGTGCTGACACTAGGCTTAACCAGGTTGTCATCTTTGCAGCCTGTGTGTTTATCTTGGTGGGGCCTCTGTGCCTGGTGCTGGTCTCCTACTCACGCATCCTGGCTGCCATCCTGAGGATCCAGTCAGGGGAGGGTCGCAGGAAGGCCTTCTCCACCTGCTCCTCCCACCTCTGCGTGGTGGGGCTGTTCTTTGGCAGTGCCATTGTCATGTACATGGCTCCCAAATCCCGCCACCCTGAGGAGCAGCAGAAGATCCTTTCTCTGTTTTACAGCCTTTTCAATCCTATGCTGAACCCCCTGATCTACAGCCTGAGAAATGCAGAGGTCAAAGGTGCCTTGAAGAGGGTGTTGTGCAAGGACAGGATGATGTGAGAGACTTTACTGGGCCCAGAGAGTGAGGGCACTGCTCCTTGTGAAATATGATAGTTGGCATTTTTTTCCTTTTGTTAGAATAAATGCTGCCTCATAAAAGAATACCATAGACCTACAGATATAACATAAAGCATGAAGAACCTTTGGGAACCAAATAAATGAATGCCTTTACGATCTTGGCTAGGCATAGATTCACAGAGAAGATGCGCAAAGCAATAGACATGGTATTCGAAAAATTGGTTAATATTGGACATCTTCCAAGTGAACCACTCTACTCACCAGTCTGTATTAGGAGACATGAAATGCAAGCCACTAACCAACTGATGATATTCAAGCCACGTGGATCCAGAAATGGGACTTAGTATATTTAAAGAGCTACTCCATAGCAACAATAAAAAAAAATAAAAATCAATATTTATAAAATGAACAAAGCGCATGAATAGACACTACTAGAATCAATGCAAGTGGGTGATAAACATATAAAATGATGCTTTCCACCATCAGTCAGCACGAAGTTATAAATCCGAGCCACTATGTGATACTCTTGTAAACCCCCCAAAATGTTCAAAATGTTATTTTAATGTGAATATTTTAAATTTAATAAATTTTGTCCTCAGCCTTCCTTTGCTTTTTAGATATTGTTTCTTTAAAGGATATGCAGCAGCTTTTTGGTAGAATGTTGCTAAGACTGGGACAGGACAATGGCACTCGTGGGTTGATTTGGATTATTCATTTTGTGTATAAAAAGTTCAAACACTCACACACACATGCACACATTGCAGGTGCACGGGTTAATCTGATGCAGTACTGACAATGGTAAGAAGGGGCAGTGTAAAAGAGAGACGCGGGAACCAGCAGTTAGCGTGATGGCTATGTCGCTGGACTCCCACGTAGTCGACTGCGGTTCGTGTCCCGGACCCGGTGGCTTAAAACTCACGCCAGGCGCATGTGCGTGCGTGCCCAAGATCCTGAGAGGAGAATGGAGGAGAAGGGATTGCGGCGTGACCATCCCCCCTGGGGGTTGATTTCTCGCTTTCTGTCTCTATGTCTCTCTCTGTCTGTCTGGCGAGTGCACGCGCCCTACAGTGAAAATCTCTCCAAAAAAAAAAAAAAGAGAGACGCAATTGCAGCATGACCTCACCCCTTTGGAGGTTGCTTTCTCCCTCCCTCTCTGTCCCTTTGTTACTGTCTGGTGAGCACAAACGCCTCAGGAAATTAAAAAATAAATAACAATTAAAAAGCATTTATGGGGAATCCTACTCTAGCACAACAGCATGAGAAGCTCTTTAGACATATGCCTCAGTGAAACTGGTGAAATTTATTTTAAAACAGTCATTTGAAGTCTCTGGAAATGACCCTAAGCATATGGAGCAAATACACATTTAATTTAGGACATCTATTAAATTCTTTAAAGACAGCAAATCTATGAGATTTGAATCATGACCAGTTTCTTTCCTTCTATCTCTCTATTCAGCAAGAAGTTCTATTCCGGGCAGCTGCTCCCAAGGCCACAGGGTTCCCTCTCCAGCCAGCTCCCAGGCAGAGGCTATCTCCAGGAGTGCCAGGACATCGGAATTTCTCCTCCTGCATGAAAAACCTCAGCATGTCTCATCTGCCCTTCCCCCAACCCCAGCCATCTACTGCTGCGGGCTAAGTTCTGAGTAAGACAGCTGGACACCATCTTTGCTGTCCTTTCTAGAGAAGATTCTAAGATCTAACTTTACTCACCACTTTTCATTCCTTAGCAAGACATTTTATGATCCTTCCGGGAATTTGAATCCTCAATAGAATCTCCAGAATATTTTTAATCATCTGATTCTGAAATAAAAGCTATGCTTCTGGGGTTCAATGAAGAGGTTTCAGCAAATCCAGTGCATCTTCCCGTATATCTGGGATTAAGCTTATGAAGGCCGCCAGAAGGAAGAGAAATTGATACCCATGTTAGAGATACTTTCTCTCATTTCTGTAGGTTATATTCTAGGTCAAAGTGTTTCCTGAAGGAAAAATCTACCGTTAACATCACCTTTTAAAAGAAAGATTCATAAAAATCAGAGGGAGGTGGTTTTCAATACTGGTTGTAGAAACAGGACAGGAAGCTAGCAGGAATCATCATGGCCATACCAGAAGGATGACATTCCTGAGTGATCTTCCCTCTTGAATCAGTGCACATCTCAGGTAGTCAGAAGAAACACCAATTTGTCCCTCACCACGGTCCTGAAGCTTTTGCTGCTTTACTGTGTGTGTCCTGAGTGTCAAGGATTCTCTCAGCATCACTCCCATCATTACCCCCGCACCTGACCTGACAGTGATGGTTAGAGTCAGCACTACCATCTCAATGGGACGGGGCTCTAGGAAGGAGAGCCCATATCCAGGTGTTTCCTATGAACAAGCTTCTGAAATAGCCAAATTAATAGAGGACTTTACAGGACTACCTGGATGGAAATTGCTTATACTGATTATAATAAACCTCTGTTTTTTGAGTTGCTATTGTTTTATTCACTATATTGGAAGAAAAAATAATAACTACTGTGATATTTTTTCCTCTATTCTGGGGTAATAGCTACTTAAGAATTTTAATCTCAATTTCAATTTCACTTTAATATCTATTTTTAATATCTAAATGGAAATTATAATGAAGGTTAAAATATTTACTAACCTAGACACAAAAATAACTAGACTAAAAGGTCAATAAACAACAAATGTTCCTATTAGGTAGCAATAGATTGGCTTATCTTCAAAAACATTGTTATCTTTAATAGAAGTTAAGTGTGCTTTGGACATTGATTATTATGTCTATTGTCCAAGTAAGATTTTGCTATACTAATGTTACTCTCTCCATTTGGCACCCAGTAGATAGATTTTTTTATTACAGTAATAACAATTCAGTGCTCATTTATATAGAATCTTCTTCAAATGCAATATATTTATGGAAATTAAAGAATCTGTGATCTTCACTGAGCCATCGTTAAAAAATAAATAAACAAACACTGCCCATGGGTCAGCTGGTGGCATGGTGGTAGCAGATGGATCCCATATGGCCTACTGCATGAGTCCCAGACCAGGAAGCTAAAAAACAAACAAACAAACAAACAAACTAGGCATGTGAGCCTGCATGCCCAAAATCCCGAGAAGAGAACAGATTGGGATGTGACCATCTTTCTGGGGGAAAAGGGGAGTGCTTTTTCATTCTTCCTTTCTCTATAGAGCAAATTAAAATAAAAAGAAAACAAATGTCCACATAACTGATCTTTCCCTTAGGCTCGTACTTTGCAAAAGTTCATAAATTGCACACACATAACTTCAAGCCTAGTCTTAGGCTAGTTTATATCTATATGAAATAGATTGTCAAAAATCTATTTTTCTATTGTGCATCCATTTAAAGCAGACATAATACTGTACTCATTGTCTGCAGCTGGTGTCACAAATTATATAAATGTGATAGCTTAAAATAATAGAAATTTGTTCTTTCACAGTTTTCTAATCTAAAATTCTGAAATCTAGTAGAATCATGCTTCCTCAGAAGCCTCAAGGGGAAAATATTTCCTTTGCCTCTTCCAACTGTTGGTGAGTGTCAACGTTCTTGGTTCTGGTCACAGTTCTTTAGGTTTCATCTCATATCACTTTCACTTAAGTGTACCTTCTGTTTATTTCAAAACTTCTTTATTCTTACAAAGATACTTACTTAAGTTAGGACCAACCCATAGAATTGAAGATAGTCTCATTTCAGGAGCCACAAGTTAATAACATCTGTGAAGATCCTCTTTCCAAATAAGGCAAAATTCTCAGGTACTGTGGATTAGAATAAAGATATATCTTTTGGGGGTCACCATTCAATCCACTACAAGATATATCAAGTATGTTGTCTTATATGTAGATTATAATATAGTTCATCTCATTATGCTTACTCAAATTTATTCTTTGAAACCAGAGATTTTAAAAAAATATATATTTATTTACTTATTTAATTGTATTGTTTATTGTTATTTATTTTTTAACTAATAAGAGAGAGAGAGAGTGAGAAAGCAAGCCACCAGGGTTGAGATTCAAACTGCAGTCAGATATGTGAGAGTCTAGCACCTTAACCACCAAACCACCTGCTGGTCCAAAAGCATAGTTTTTAAAATTTAAATTTCAGATTTTCAAATTATAACTGACAATTTTTTTGGAAGTAGGAACCATATTTTGATCAATAGATAAGAAAAATTTTGTATCTATCTCTAATATGTATCTCTATATAAAACATAAAATATATACCTCTATGTAATATCTCTATATAATGCATATTATATTTTAATATATTTTCTATACACATTGTTATGAATAACTGAATATATAATTGACTGGAAATGTCATTCATCCCATTCATAAACATTTTCTTAGTATCTGTTATGTTTATAACTGTATTGGTTATTATAAGAGACATAAAAAAGTACCAAACATATCAATCATTATCTGGTGGAAAGGCAGATCTCCCTTAAAATAAGTAACATTTTGTATCCATACTTTATTATTTATTTTATCTTGAGGATTAATCATGTCTTCATAATGAGTACATAAAGCTTTCAATTATTATTGACTAAACTTACATGTAATGGGCCTACCCTTATGAGTGTATCCTAATTCCCTAGATTATCTTTATACGCTTTCTATTAAATAGATTTTTTTTCTTCTAAATTATCAGAGGATGACTGTACTCATTAGAGTGAGAAAGCACCTCCCAAATGAGAATGGTCATTCTGCAGTCAATGGATGCTTAGACGAGTGATTGAAAGGAAGGACTGACTAGTTCCTTTATGAGGAAGAAGATACATAATAATTTTAATGAATTCCTCAGAAATGGATTAGGGGGAACCAGCAGTTAGCATAGCGGGTATGTTGCTGGACTCCCACGTGGTCGACTGTGGTTCGCGTCCCGGACCTGGTGGCTTAGAACTCATGCCGGGCGCGTGTGAGTGTGTGCCCAGGATCCCAAGAGGAGAATGGAGGAGAAGGGATTGCGG